TATAACCATCTTGTAAATTTTGACTTGAAATACATTGGATACAGTCTAATATATTATTGCTTCTGATTATTATCTTGCCTTTCATTATAAGAACACAGTACTTTTAAAAAGTTTTGGAATATTTGAGAATGACTATAATATTTTTACATTTATGAATACATTTTGAATGATTGATTCAATGAGTTAAATTTCTATGACATTAATTTTCTAGTTACATTTGCTACAGACTTGCCTTTAGCATTTGTCCATTTTTGAAGCATATTGAGTAAATTTGGTTGATCAGAATTTTTAGAGCTAGAGAATACAGGCATATGTCCTTTTAAAAAATTAGCATGGTCAAGTTCTTGTCCACAAAATTTACATGGTAAAATTCTACTTGAACAATTAACCATATAAGAATACCATATATCTCTTTTACCCTTATAATTCTGTCTCAGCTGTTCAGCCTTTTGTTTGGGAAAATTTATCTGGGACATCATCACATGAAGGCTTAGTCTGAGATTTAACTTACACAACCCATTTCACCATCCGCATTAGAGTTCAATGTTTCTTTAAACACATCTTCTGATTTAACTATTTTGAAACATCTGCTTCTGTCACTTTTAATCTCTGTTATTATGGGGAGAAAATGAAAAACTGAATTCTTGTGAAAAACTAAAGGCAGACCGCAAAGATAATTGTCTCACATTATTCTATCCCTTCTAGAAAGATGATGCAATATTTTTGGCAACAGAGTAAGAAAACCAGTGATTACCTTTCTAGACTTCTTATTGCATCATTTTTCTAGGCCAGCTGTCCAATGGAAGTATAATGAAAGCCACTTACATACTTTTAAATTTCTAGTATATACAATATAAAACGACACAGTTAAAATTAATTTTAATTAGGTATGTTCAATCTATATTGTCTTTTCAACACGTCATCAACATAAAAATATTACTTATTTTATAGTCTTGATTTTTGTGTTTAGTTTTTGAAATTTATTGTGTACCTTTATTTTGATTAGCCACATTTCAAGTGCTCTTGTGTCTACCATATGAGCACAGTTTGGGAAAATTCTGCTGGTTTTCCTTTTTAAAATAAATTATAGTATTTTGATTTTGGCTCATTAAAGTTGATTTGTAAGTAAGGAAGAAATGATTCCTAGAATAGTGAAAATACCTCACAATATGAAATAACAAAATCACTAACTTTATATCTCATTTTATATTTCTGAGATGGTCTAAATGGTCTTATGCTAGTTGCAAAAAAATTTATTCTTTTTTAAATACAAGTTTGGAACACTCAAAATCCAACAATGAGAAAACAAACTAATCAAAAAATGAACCAAAGGCTTTAACAGATACCTTACTAAAAGTTAGACAAGTGAAAAATAAGGACATGAAAAGATGTTCCACATATAGCTACATATATCCTCCATTAATTTAATGAAAATTAAAATAACCAGATACCATTACCTATCCACACAGCTGTTAGAATGGTCAAAATACAGAACGCTGACATTGCTAAGTGCTGGTGAGGTGGTAGAGCAACAGGAACTCTCATTGATTACTGATGAGAATGCAAAATGGTACAGCTCCTTTATAAGACAGTTTGGTAGTTTTCTTACAAAACTGAAATATTACCTTATATTCCAGCCATCACACACTCCTTGGTATTCATGCAAAGGAGGTGAAAGCATGTCCACATAAAAGCTTGCAAAGAGATGATTACAGAAATTTACTCATAATTGCCCTAACTTGGAAGTAACCAAGAGGTCTTTAAATAGGTGACTAGATAAGTAAACTGTGTTACAGCCAGACAATGCAAGTTATGTCAGTGCTTAAATAAATGGCCTAGCAAGTCATGAAGAAAAACCTGGAGGAAACCTAAATTTTACTGAATGAAAGAAGTCAATCTGAAAAAGCTACAAACTCTTTGATTCCAAATGTATTGCATTCTGGAAAAGGCATGATGATAGAGATCATAACCAAATTTCGAGACAGTAAAATTTGTTGCCAGGGGTTTGGGGAGGCAGGGATGAATAGGTAAATTGCAGAGAGGTTTTAGGGCAGTGGTCCTGTAATGGTGGATAATTGCCATTATAGATTTGTTCTATCCCATAGAATGTACCCCACTAAGAGTGAAGCCTAGAGTAAACTTTGAGTGATAATGATGTGACAGTATAAGAGCTACAGGTCTAACCAATGTACCCCTTTGGTGGGGTATGTTGACAAGGAGGGAGGCTATGCACATGTGGGTGTTAGAGGATATATTGGAAATGTCTGTACTTTCCTCTCAATTTCATTATAAACTTAAAATTATTCTAAAAAATGCCTTACAAATATTTTTAAGTTTTTCTTTGCACTTCAGAAGACCTTGAAGAATAAAAGTCATCAAATAATCCATACAATGATTCACTTACTTAAAAATAAGCAATGAAAAATTAAAATTGAGTCCAAAGTGTTGTGACAGTATATCAACAATTAACCATTTTCATAGTTTTTTAATTTTCCCAATACTGGCAAAATTTTATCAAATGTTTAATTTGGGACAGGGTAACCTAAATTTCAAGGAATAAGAATTGGAATCATTTGGTATCCCTAATTTAAGTTGAACCTGCCTTGCCTATAGGAATATATATATTCATAATGCAATTGATCTCTATACAGGAAAAACAGCTGATACCTTTAAATACTATATATTATATATAGCACTATACTATAAAGCTATCTATAAATCTAAGTATTAAAATGTTTTCATGTTATACAATGTTAGTCCATTAAAATAATGAACTTGCATTTCTTTATTAAAAATTGTTAAACTATTTTAATAGTATTTTATTTATTCAATCAAAGTATACAACTGAAAGGTGATATTTAACATTGTGTTTAACAGAGAACCTACCCACTTAGTGCCCGTCATCTGCAGGCTGTTCCCATATATATCCAGGGTAATCTGTACCACACTCCTGAATTGCTGAGGAGGGCACTGGTCAGGAGGTCATTAAATTAGACATTAGAAATCACTATTGGCTAGTCCCTGTTCCAAAACAAACTCATTCTGACCTCAATCAAATAGAGTATTAAACTGTGAGTATCTCATGTATCAAATGACAATGTCTTCTTAATCTTTCCTTTTTCATACATTGGCTAAAGTAAGAAAATAAAATTTATTTGTTCTGAGATGAGAAGCATCAATATTTGAACCTCTCTGTTTCCCTTATTTAACATTAGATGATACGGAAATAATTTAATACTTTTCTCTTTTCTTCTTCCTCCTTACTGGTAAAAAAAATAGGGCCAAAAAATGTCAGCGAGCCAGCTAGCCAGCCAGCCAGCCAGACACACACACACACACACACAGCCCACAACCAACAATAACAATACCATTTCTCAATGCATTTTATTTATTTTTAAATTTTATTGCATGTCTTGGTAAACATAAGTGGCTTGAAGATTTGCCTCTGGCTCACCAAAAGCCCATAACAAAAAATACCAAAAGACAGGCAACTAAAGCTTAAAAAAAGTATGACATCTATAAGAAAGAACCTCTCAAAAACATTAATAAAGAATATAAAACCTTTGACATTTACTTAATTTTTATACAGTTATAAAAATAATAAAAAAAACACACCCTTTAACATTCAACATCCCACATACTGTATTTTTGGGGAATATCAAGAAAACAAAAAGTAAATGGATTTAATGAAGAAAGTTCTGTTCTCCGTTTCTATTTCTAATCACTTCCAAATAAAAACCTTTGCATTGTTCAGCTAACTGTACCAAGCCAGACCACAAGGACTCCATTAAGCCCACTCCCACTTCTCTGTCCTCAATATTCTTTCAGCCCTTATCTTAGCTACTCATATACTCAGAGCATAATTTGCCACCAGGATAAAAGGTCAGTCGTTGTGCCTATCTTGGCTAATGCCAAACCCATGAGATACAGTACAGGAATTTCTGAGTCCCTAGTGCCACCTGAATAGTATTGAAATAGCTCAGAAGTCCCAGGTTTATTCAAACACTCAGTATAGTAGAGGAAGCCATGTGACTTCCTAGCATTGCCAAGGCACAGCTTTAACTCTTCCCCTTACTAGGTTTTCAAAGCTGTATGCCTGTTCTACAAATTAACAGTGCATATTACCATTTAAGCACAATAAAACTTTGAAATCAAGGACTCACTCTCTTTAACATACAAAATAAAAATAATAATAAAAAACAACTTTCCCTTCCCCCCATCTTACATTTAAGATATTTTTTCTTATATGACATTGTTGTTAAACTAAGTGATGTTTCCGTGAAAATATAAAAACAATAATAATAATTAAAAAAAAAGTTTCAACTCTGGTTCTGGAAAACCCACTATCCCAAGAAGAAAAAAATAATCAAAATACAGAGTATGCATTTTTACGCACAAAAATATATATACACTTTTTCAGATGAAACTCATACATTATATTTTTTGAGCCACATTAGCCCTTTCATACTTTAAAATAAAAAAAAAATGGAAGCTTATGTTCATAATAGCCCTTTACCAGAATGCACAGGAATATTTTAGAGCTCATTAGCATATATACAAAATACCTGTTTTATAGTTTGAAAAAAAAAAGGTCACATATGTTTCTACAAAATCTAGGGGAATATAGTCACTTAAAAAATACGGTCATTTAACAAATGCTTGTTTAAAGACAAGTATTTGTTCATGTGGTCCAAATACTAGCTCCCATGAGAGGTTTACGCCCGGGTCTGTGGGACATTTTTATGTCTATGCACAGGCCGGAAAAGCAACACACAGGAAATTGGGTTCTCACAGTTATTTTCTAACAAAGTAAAACTCTCACTGATCAAAAGAGAAAAGTAACATATTGAAGCAACTAATGCCACTGGAAAACTGATCTCATCATTTTGTTTTCCAAATCTCAACTCCTATTTTAAACCTTGAAGAGAGCAAGGTAAACAAGAATTTTATAGAATAGGGATGCTCTTTAAAAGAAACATTTACCAAATAATATTATCTATATTTCAAAAGATTTTCTAAGAATTTCAATTCAGGCTCACTGAGCTGTCTTATTTAGTGGAGACTCAATATTTCTGTATGTGTTCTGTTTTTCCTGGATATTCTTTATAGACATTAACACTTCATTGTAAGGATAGGATAGATGGTATTCATCCTGATCAAATCAAACTTAATTCTAAGAAGAACAGCAATTAGTTTATTGAGTTAGAAGGTTCATTAGTGGAATTTAGTTTTAAGGCTTCTATAATGACAATGGATACTTTCCTAGTGAATACTAAGAGATAGGTATACTAAGAGATGCCCATCAATTTGATGGGCTTGCTGATATACTCAAATACATGATACCAGATGTTTTTTAACTGATGACCCCCAGGACCTTTTAAGAATTTTAGTCTCAGTCCATATTCTCCACCCCAGCCAAAAGCAAGAGAGGGCATTTCCTTTCTTCTAGTCTATGATGCTATGAACATGGACTTTTTCTTGTAATTGGATTTAATAATCCCAAAATGAACCATCATCACTAGTAGGGGTATCTGATAACATAAAATCCACCAACATTGAGAAGTGTGTAAATATATACAGTCTCACCTATATAATAAGCAATGGTAAATACAACTGGGTTATCAAAAGGTTTGACATAGCATGTGTTTAGCATTCAAAGAACTGAAGGGACCTAAACACTATTGCCACTCACATATACCATCAAACTCTAAATTCCTATTACCCCACTTGATACCCCTTGAGAGAAAGAATATAGATGAGCCATTCAAAGCAATTAAAAAAATAATTTGATAAGTGCAAGTCAATTCCTTTCCTTTAAATTACATTTTAAACAGTACTCAATGCCCCCACCCAAAAATATATACTGTATATTTATATATTTATATATATAGTCTTAGACTATAAGGGTGAAAATGCTTTATAAAAGTCAATGACAGATCTCTGCAGCTTAAGGGGATGCACACTGCTTTTCTGCTCACTTCTACCTAGTCATGACAACTCCAGTCCTGCAAGCAATAGATTTGAAGGCTTAAAGCCAGAATCAGAATCAGAGCTGGACATTAGGTAAGAGGTAGCCTCTTACCTCTCCTTTTCTTAAGAAACCAGACTGAGAAGAGGAAGGAGAGGAGCTAGGGGAAATGCTTGCAAGGTCAAGCAGCAGTGCTGGCAGGGGAGTGGGCGAATGGGAAGAAGGTGGAAAAGCTCCAGGAGGAATGCTCACTCCCCCTCCTCTTTGATGCGCTGTTGCTTGTTGCGACGAGCATCCATGTCAAAGTTGAAGTCATTCCACTCATCTCGGGGTGGGAAGGAGATGGTCTGGCGGAGGGTGAAGCGCACAGCGTCAATAACACGTTCACCCCGGGTCTCGCTGGAACCCACACTAACTGTGGAGGCGCCACTTGGGGTCCGCAGGAGGTGGGGAGGGGAGGAAAAGTCATGCAGCTGCCGGTGGTCCAGGATGCCCTTCCAGATGGCATGACGGAATTGCTCAGGGATTTTTAGACTTGCCAAATCCTGTGCAACAGGGAAGGGAGGCAGGAAGAATTAGGACAAAGAAACAATAAGTGACATTTACACTACACCATTTTGTCATTTTCCTTGGCTCTTGTCTAATTGACCTGGATTTATTGATCCTGAATTGGAAAATAAAATCAGCTCTCAGCTAACATTTGGCTCTACATGTACCTAGGCACAGAGGCAGTCTTGAGGTACCATCTCTGCTAATTCTTCACTGGTTTCAGTTTTTTTTAATTGATAAAATAGGGACAGTTGTTAGATTTGAGGGTAAAAATCCTCACACAGAAACATAAGGTACAGGGAGGGAACTTCTGACTCTAAATCTAAAGGGCTCTAGTCACTAGAAGAAAGGTATTAATGAGATGTCACCATTGCTTCAGTGAAGAGATGAAAGGAAAAGATGACTAACAAGAAGGTATCAAAACTCTCTAGGTGCCAGGCACTGAACTAATTATACATATTCATAACTTCATTTAATGCTCAGATTAGTAGGAGATATGTTATACCTATTTCATAGAAAATTTGAATGTCAGAGAGGTTGATAACTCTGAAGTTAAACAATTAACTGAATTAATTGGGGACTCAGGACAGACTTTGAGTCTAAAACTGTCCTATGACCAAAGGTCTGTTGGTGTTTGCTTAAGTCAGAGTGTTAAAACACATGTCCATGTTCTATGAGTAGGGATAGCAGACAACAAATACAGTCAATCTTCACTAACTGGATGGCATGTCTTACTTGTATCTGCACTGGCTTTTTAATTGGTTTGTTCCAGGAGCAGCTCACATATTTTGTGGAGCAGCATGGTGGGCAGAAAGAACACTAAACTTGGGTCAGAAGACCTTGATAGAGACTCTAATTCTATCCCTGATTGGCTCTAGACCTTCTTCAAGTCACTTACTCTCAACTGGTTTCAGTTTCTTCATTGGTGGGATGGGATATCATTCCTTTTTTAACTCAGCATATGTTGCATACTTAAATGTTAATGTGGATATGAAAGCATTTTGCACATTATAAGAATATACTCTATGACTTTTTATCAATGATATTATGTTATGTTAGATCATTATTAACTTATCCTTGCCTCTTACAGGGGGTACTTATTAAAACTCCGAAATTTAACCACATTCCTTTTCCAGGAAGGAACATCAAATAACTTAGTCTGGCGCTGAGAGACAAGCTGAAAAAGAGGTGTCTGTTTCCAGTAATGAGCAGGAAGAAGCCGAGGTAAGGATACAGAAATTAGATAGTTTCCCAACATTTCCCACTTTGGAAACTTGCAGAGTGGAGATGCTCTGCTTCTCTATTCCAGCAGAAGACTGCACTATGAAAAAATTAATCCACAAACAGATAAGAGGCTATATCGCTTTATGCTTCTGAAACTCCCAATAAATCCAAAACTCTTAGTAAACTAGCCTTCATTAATCTGCAGGATTCTCTGGATAGAATTTTAATTGATGACTGACAGGTGAGAAAAGCATGGTCCAGAAATGGTCACGAGACCTAGGCAACACCAGCAAAGATGGACTTGTGGAGTGCAGCTGAAAATCCAAATAGCCAAAGGAGCACTCTGACATGCTGCCCCATGGGAACAAGTGAGTGAAGAGAAAGTATAACTTCAAAAATATAGGAAAGGGACAAATTCCCTCTTCCATCCTGGAGGACTCTCAAACACAGGGCAATTCTATCTCTTCAGTGGATGGATGCCATTGTGAAGTTATCTGAATCCCATTGGAACTTATTCCTGAAGCTTTGTGTATAGATTTTGTTTTTAATTTATTCCATCGGGGACAGCCAGACAGGGCTGATTCCTGGGGTGAAGAGGAATGGGTATTGGGGTAGCACAGTGCAGACTTGTCACCACAGGGCTGGGCTCTCATGCTGCAGGGGCATCTCTAGCATCGGTGCTCAAGGAGGGGGAGAAAAGAGGTCCCAATTACTAGAAGCAGCAGCAGAGGCAGAGAGGGTCTTCTCCCACCAGTCCATAGGGCCCTCTGGAAGCTAGAAGAGAGGACAGTAAACCCCAAAGACAGCAGCATGAAGAGCAGTCCAGGAGCAAAATCAGATTGCCAAAACCAGAACAACATGAGCTCCCACATGAGCAGTAGTTTAAGAAGTGTTTTAAGAAGCAAGAAAAGCCCCCTCCCATCCAGCTTGCTCCAAAAGACAAATCAATGAATATCAATATATTACTATATCAATATCAATGATTTAACCTCGTTTGATTAAATGAGGTCCAGTGAGGCAAAGTGATAACCCCAAATCCCCACTGCTAATAAAAAGCATGATCGGGATTTGAATCCATGACTACTGATATTTTTCCCAATGATCAGAGCTGGCTGGGCCATAAAAGTGAAAATGTATGAACATATGGTTCTGAGAGGCACATCTGAATTTCCCTTAAGGTTCTACTTTAAGGAGAGGCAGAAGTCAGCTAATGAATTTAAACTAGCAGCTTACATCTCAGGGTCCTATTCCTGGCTCTGTCATCAACTCATCATGGCAAATGACTATATTGTCATCTCTCCATGTTTTCAACTGAGATTAACATCACCTGCTTTCTGCTAGGATCCCTGGGACCTATACCAATTAATGAGAACATCCAACTAGTTCTTTGAATTTGTTAAAGATTCTTAAAGGTGAATTAGATCTCCTCTTTCCCATCTGCATTCGGGTTCACTAGACAATGGTCTACTGACCAGGCAAATTGAGGAAGTCTAATTACTAAAAGTCTCATATGTACTACCTGGGAATCTTTCTCCTCTGGCCATGGGTTCCATTCAAGTTGAGACTAGGAGTTATGAAAAAATGAATTTGAAATCTAGGGGAAATTGACTTATACAGCAGATGTCACCAAAGGAAGGAAATGAAGAAATAAAACTCAAGAGAAAAGTCTAACAGTTACTTACATCCATGGAGTAATGCTCAATCTGATAGATGGTGGTCAGCCCCTGGGTCGTGAAATAGTCCAGACATGATGAGCAGCCCAACCTTGCTAAGAAACTGCAGAGGGAGAGGGAAGAGGTAGGAAGAAACAGAAAAAGAAAGTTCACCCCAACTGCATTGGCGAGATAAAGGAAAACCCAACATTTTGCCCTGGGATGCCCCACAGAAGAGACGAAGGGCAGATAAATTATATGTTGAACTTGGATATGAGGTTTGGGGATGATTGGTGACTTGAAATTTAGGTCTTGAGAAATTAAAATCAACTGTATGGATTCTTGCCAAGCAGTGATTTTCCAGTGGTGACCTGTGGAATTCTGGGGGTCCTGCAGACCCTTAGGAGCCACTGCAGGGGTGAAAGGAAGGAGTCCAGTGGTCAGGTTTCCACTCCACCTGCCTTCTGACTCTTCATTTCACAAAGCGCATCTTTACTTCAATTGTTTTGCATTTAGGACTTCTGAGAATGGTCCATGTGCCTAAGAAAAAATGGTGTGCTGCTCTACTGTGAAGTTATTCATGCTTTTTGACATATGTCCTCCTTAGAATACAGACCCCTTCCTTTCTGGTGTTGGTCTGACTGATGATGCCAACACTGCTGTAAAGCCAGGTGCTGGAAGGCATAAGCCAGGCACTATGATGGCTACTGTTACCTCAAGCACCTGAGGATCAACACACATTATTCCAGAAGCCACATGAAAGATTCATCCTGTGCATGAAGCAGGGCCCACACCTTGTACACTAGAAGTAAGATTTGGGTACCTCTGTGGGAAACAGATCTTTCAGGCTTAATGCATTATTTTCTTCTGGCCATCTGAGCTCCCTTGTATGGATTGTGCTCATTCCCCAAGTGGTAAAGCAGAAGAAACCACCAAGTTCTTGAAATTCCCTGCCATCTTACTAATATTAAAACTTTTTTTTCTGGACATCCAACTCCAAAATTATGAGCCCATGGTGGCTGAGAGTTATGAGGCCTAGCGAGCAGGAAAGGGAGCGAGATAGAAAGTTTACTGCCCTTTTGGGAAACCCAGCCCTGAGCACCAATTTGAAGGCCACAAATGACAGTATAAAAATGTGAGGGCAGAGAAGGGAATAAGTGAAATGGGGAAATAGGCATGAAAAGTCACATGCCTATAAACTCACATTTCCACTTTTCCCATTCAAATCCAAGCTGATCATCATGGTTTTCCTTGAATGAACCCTGCTGACCATGACACAGGTCAGAGATAACAGTGGTTGAAATCCACCACAGGGCTGCTTTCTTTCCAACTGTGCTATTGACTTTCACAGTGTCCACCCTCCACCACCCAGAAATGCTTAGGATGGGCCCCCAGGGGCACATGCTGTGGACTCACCTGACAAGGCTGCAATCTGTGGGGTACGGAGGTGGGGGGGTGCAGTGGGAGGTGGATGGCATGGAGAGAGGGGGAGGGAGGGCCTGGGTTGGGCTGAGTCCATTCATGTCTCCAGCCATTGGCATGTGGGTGCCCATCATAGGAACTGAACAGAAGCAGGAGGAACAGAGAGGGTTACTGCCATCATCATGTACCAGCATCCCAGCGGTCCATTTTGCCTGGATTAATGTGACCAAGGTCTAAACCTACCAGCCTTCTTTTCAGTCTTATCTCTCACTATACCCCTTCATGTACCCTACATCTCATCAAACAGAATGGTCACCAAACTTCTTGATCTCTATACCTCTCTTCGGACAATTTTTATCCACTCCTTTCTCTAATTCTAATGCTCTGTTGAATTGCTTATTATTCTTATTGATGATATGTTCCTCTCTGTATTTGACTTCATGGTTACATTTCTATCTCCCTCATTAGAATAATCTCTTTGTGCATAGAAATTAGACCTTATCCTCTCACAGTGCCTGGCACAAAGCAGATGCTCAGTAAACTTCAGTTAAGTGAACTCATGAATAAATCTGTGAGTAAGGGAATCTTTGGAATATTTATTTGGAAACAGCAGGGTTTATTATATTTGTAGAGAAACATAAGCCTAATACAGGAGGATTCAATAAATATTCCCGCTGTTTCTTACAGATCATTTCAGGATTGTATTCAGGAAAACAACCACCAATAACCTTTTTTTATTAAACCATAAACCGGGACCATTCACTTACAGAGAAGAAAATTCTAATAGCAGTAATATTTATGAAACAGATTTTTGCCCTTAGGCCAAAGCAGGAGCAAAACAACATACTTACAAAAAGATTAATATAATTTGCTTCTGTTTTAGTGAATAGTAGTTGCCAAAGGGGAAAGGCCTCTGCCACTAACTAGTGAGCTAACGTGCATAAGCGCCTGTGTCAGCTATTTCCCCCATGACTTCCCTGCTAACACCAGAGGATAATTGTGAAGTAAAAATAAGGAAAATTAAGTAAACTGTAAGTTATACAAGCATAAAGGATCATCATCATTACTAAATTTTGTTGTGCCAGGAAAGAAATTGAGAACTCTAAGAAGTCACAAGAAAGAAAACAAAGTAAAAAACTGATTCCTATTCCTTTGGCTGTCAAAGCAGCAGACCTGTCAAAGGGTATGGTTTTGAGATTCAGGATGCATTTATGCATTTATGACCAGGGAAGGGGTAATATGGTTAGCATATTTACCAGGTTAGCGTATTACCAGGGAGGGGGTAATATGGTTAGCATATATGTTGACATGCCAGGCAACCATTCCACATATATCTCTACTTCATTAAAATCAGGATATAGGCCTGATTTTAAAATCAGGATGTAGGCCAGATCACAGAGTCATAATGCTAGCCTCCCTTAACACCTTAACTTCCCAGTCTTCCCAATGCAACATTAAAATGCAAATTTAAAGAGTTAATAAATAATGAAGGATTTCAAAGGACATGGCTGGAGCACTTATTTTATAAGGGGGTTTCTCAGATACATGTGCAGTATCCAGGTTTTACCATCCTTGCATTTTTACCATCTTGCTTTTAAATAAAATTTGAGTAATAGTTAGATTTAGTTCTTGTAGACAAGGTAATTATATTTACAGCAAATCTGTCATCTATTTCTCACATTGTCTTTTACATTTATACTTAATTGACATAAGGAATTTGTGTGTAAATAATAAAAGGGAAATTCTTCTCTCTATGTCAACTCCCCGGTGACTATGTATGGGATGGAGTAGATGACTTGAGAAGGTAAAGATTATAAGAACACAAAATCATATCAACAGTGATAATTTAATGAATGGAAACTGAGTATTAGAGCAGAGAAGTGACTTTTCCAGAGCTGCACAGCTAGCATTGCATGCAATTAAGTCCAGAGTTCATGCTACTTCTCTAAATTTTAAGTCTATTTCCCACATACTGGATGCATTTCCTTTTGACTCTTTCAAATGATTTTCCCCATCTACCTAAGAGATGATTCCTCATCCCAGCTGGCAGAAAGTAAACTGCTATTTTCACAAATATCTTGTCCCACTAAAGGAACAGCCTCCTCCATCTCAATCAATGTGCCCTGTAATGAACTACACACTTCAAAAATGAGGAAAATTCACTCTGAGAAACCCAACCCACTCAACTGTTATCTGATCTGTTTCACTGTGCATTTCACTTAGCTTCAGAGCAAGTCCTTCCCTTACCCCAGAGTGGAGTTTCCCCTTCATTAGCCCTGTTATTCCTTTAGCTGCAGTTAAAGGGAAATGTTCTTACTGTTAGCTCCCATGCCGTCAGGAATGGTGGTGGGAGTGAGGGCGTTGCGCTGCTGTGGATTGATAAGCTGGCTCACGGAAGGCAGCTTGTTCATGCTGTTCATTTTGTTCAGGGGTGGGGAGCTGTTACCGTATGAAGACTGAGACTGCATCGAGGTCCTAGGAACACAAACATGGGAATGATGGTGAGCATGGGACACCAGAGTGGGGACTGGTCATTCCCAACAGGTCTCAGATTAAAATGTAACTGTGAGCTATATCCTTGCAAAAATATTTTTTCCAAAATCAGTGACAAAAAGCTGCTTATGTTTCCACCTGAGAACTTCTGTCTATAGAGAGATCACAAGGCTATCATAAAATCATATTTTTCTTAAATGTGTAGAGTATAAAGTTGAATATCTTCTTAAAGCATCTCCTTTGTAGGAGGGAAAATAATTGTGTCCTCTTTTTTCCTCAGTTGTTATCTCCATTCTTTCCCCCTTCAATTTAAATAAATTTGAAAATCAATAATGAAAATGACTTGAGTGGAGACACAAAGACTTATGAAAGACATGGAGATGCCAATGTCAAATTTCAGCTGAGGCACTTCATTTTAAACTTCCTAGGCCATTTGCAATATGCAAAAATAACTGCAAAGCTAATCAGACAGAGACTTGGCAGTAGACCCAGCTGTCGTGCAGAGTCCCCGTCATGAAATCATGCTTCCTCGGATTAGGTGTTCATGGATCATTAGAGAACCCACTGGAATGCTAATGCCTTTTCTATACAAAGCAAAACAAAACAAAACAAAACCCCAAAAACTGGACTCCCAAACCAATGTTCTTTTGATTTTCCACAAGTCTCCTGAGAGGCATAGAGGACAAAGTAATTTTCTATTTTACAGAATTGGAAATTTAATAGAATTGATTTGTCATACCATGCACTATTATACATTTGCTATTCCCTACTTGACTGCCATTCTTGGCTTTTTCTTCAAAAGTAGTGACGTCTACTCAAATCAGGACAGGATATAGATTCAGAAAATCAAAGTTTGTCTTCCTTCAGCATACATTAGCAGTAAAGAGTGTTGCCTGGTTTTCTCCCAAGAAAACTATTCATACTATATGCATATGTACTTACTGCATGAGTTTGAGGTCAGAGGTAGAAAGACTAGTAAGAAATGGTCACATCTATGAGAAGATCATAGAATACTGGACCTACAAGGATAATAATCCAACCTACCTCATAGACAGCTGTGGTGAGAGCTGGGAAAACTAAGAACAAACTTTACAGGTTCTGGGCATTTACAATAAGAAATTCCTATGACCCCAGAAGAAGATGATTTTGAGCATGTATCTAAACTGTGGTGGGAAATATTCCCTTATAACACTCCTCAAAGTATCTCATTTTGTTCTGGTTTGTCTCCTCTTACTGTAGCCATAGCTATATTGGAGGAGAAAAAAATAATTTGAGCTTTATATAAATTTTGAAAGGTTTACAAATGAGCCCAGGGAGCAAATAAACATTATAATAATGTTTGAAAAAAAAAAATAAGTGGCTCCAGCAGTATACGGTAGAGTAATACAGTTTACAGCATTCTCTATAAGGAACAAAACAGGCTCTATTCCATAGCACTGAAGAGCACAGATAGTGGAATTCAAACTATGCTGTATACTTATTTGCACAAATAAGCACGACAATGTATACTTAGCACTTCAGCATTTTATAATCACTGACTTTAAGGAAGGAGGGTATTGATTATTCCTTTACCCTCTTTCAAGTATTCACAAATATAGATCTATGTTGTTATAAATGAATGTTTATATAATAGAGCCTTCCAACTGCAAGATATTTGAGGCGACCAAGCTCTCCTTTATTTTCTAAATGATTCTCTTATATGTGATTTTTATATATGTTATGGCAGGGCAGGGATGGCCAGAAATTATTATGTCTATTATATAGAGGGATGAATGTAAGCTTCTAGAAAAAAAAAAAAAAATGTCTGCGATCACATATCACTAAATGATGAAATGAGATATCTCATGGCCTGTACTCCAAGAGGTTTTTTCCTTTATTTTGTGACACCTTTGCATGAATAAAATAGTAGATTACAGAATCAATAAATGGGTGAATCAGGAAGAGAAATGTGGGAGACTGAGCTAGAGCAGGGAACAAGGGATGCTGTAAGTGAAGCCTATTGCCTCCCCCTGCCCCCACCCTTACCCGCAGCTATCGCCAAGTAATTCTGAATCCACTTCATGCCTGTCCAGAAGCTCTTACATCTTCAAACCTCTATAGGTTCATACCAAAGTGTAGGAAAGCACAGGGCAAGGTGGCCAAGAGATGCTTTGCTAGTGTTTCTTCTAAGTATCTTGTCTACCACACAGTATGTAAGATTCAGACAGTCCAGCCTGCAGAGACAGGTTGGTCATCTGTAATGGAAGGAGACCTATAACTATCTCACACTCCCCTGAACCAGGCAGACATGCAGTAAGAATGGAAGGATGCATTGTTTAAACCATTAATGCCCACCATTAGAAAAATAGAAGTATATTTAAAACATCTGCAAAAACATCTGCATGTTTTTTGGGACCACAATTGCAGTAAATGTTTATTTCCAGTCACAATTCCCTTCTCTCTTTCCCTCTATGGATTATGTCATCATTTGTATAGGCCCAAAACATCTGGGCTCACCTTCCACATCTGAAACAAAATAATTCCTTGAGATGTTAAGCAACACTCCTGAGTCTCACTTTCTTAATCTGTAGAACAAGTATTATATTCACTCTAGAAGAATTGCTATGAAGATTGAATTAGTTTATGTGAGAGTCCTGGACATTGTAATTTGTAGGTGCTTAATAAACATTGGTTCCATTTACTTCTTCCCTCCAGTTCCAAATGTTTAATACTATAGCATATGGCCAAGGGAACGAGAAGAATCCGATTAAGTACTAATAAAAGGAAGTGGTATATTTTCTTAATTGAACAAATCCATAAATTAGGGTGAGCAGAATGGTGATAAGAGAGTGTGAAAAGGTCAGACATTCTGAATGCCTCCCCTTCTGTGCAGGCATTTAACAGGGGAGTCTGTTTGTTACTAAGTTTGCATGTCTGAAATAGAAAGAACATTCTGATGACCTCTGTGTGCAGTGGGAAAGGGAGCAAAGCTGAATACATATGTGGCCAATTTATAGGCCTTGAAGAACAACCACATGTATTTTTTCATTACAAATAAAATCATCACAGTCCTTGAGGAGACAATGCCAAAGACTGCTGGGGAGCTGGAGACATGGAAAATTTGTTCAAAGACAACAGGACCTGTGCCATATGGCTTTTTTTTTTTTTTTTAAAGATTTATTTTTGTGCAGAAGAACTAGGGTGTAGGCCAGAGGTGTGGGGGTAGGGGTGAGAGGATTCACCAGAAACAGAGTGGGGAGCAGAAGAGGCAGATATACTGAAATACACTGCTGAGGAGGGCAGCAGACAAGACAGGAAAGGTCTCTGCTGTGTCATGTGGGTTGCTCCCTGGTCGGGGTTCAAACCCATGACACAGTGGTGATAGTGTCGTAGCGCTGAGACTTAACCCCTAGGCCAGCAGGGAGACCGTTCCTCAAAAAACAAACAGAAAAAAGTGAGAACACAGATCTTCTCAGAAAACTAACAAGGCTTAGGTGTTTTTTCCTTTTTTCTTTTTTTGGTCAAGGTTTATTAGGTTTTTCTAGGCATCCAGAGATGTACAAAGGCATGTCTCACAGATTTCTAGTTATGAGGAGATATTCTAGTGACATCAAGTCCCTGTTCCTTAAACAATTTAGACTTCTATATACATTAGTAAGATTAAAATTCAGAATTCCAGAGTAATGATCTTTAGGTCATAGAGGATTAGAAATGGGTTTCCTGAATCCAAGTCTTTTAACTATCTATTTGCTAGAAAGTCAAAATCTCTAAGACATTTTCTCTACCTTGCTGGAGATGCCTAATATCCCATGAAAATATTACTTCTTTTGCCTTAAAGCTGCTATTGTCAATTAAAAAGCAACTCCCTATTAGAATCTGGGAATACCTCTGAGTACATCTGTTTCAGCTAACTTCTGGAGTGCAAGAACTGAGTGGGGGGTATTGGGACTAGAACAAGATATCACTGGATGAGAAAAGTGTAAAATGGGGAAATTCATGGCACATCTGAAACAAAACTGTTCCTTCTCCAAATTCTGCCCAGGACTGCCTGGATTGTAACCTTCCTGGGGAATCTTGCTTTTAAAGACAAAAGGCAGCATTAATTCTCTAGATAGATCAAACATAATTGTAAAATAATTTCCATCAGTTCAAATATGTGCACTTATAAAAAAAGACACTGTAAAAATAGAAAAACTTAACATAAAAGAGTGTAAAAGGAAAAAATCATGAAAAGCAAATGTTAAAAAACTGAATAAATTCATGAAATTTTTACAGAGATTTATGATTAAAAATGGCAAGAGTGAGTGAAAACACTTTGCCAATGTAATGGGATGCTCTGGTTTTACTAACACACCTTTTTTTTTTTTTTTTTTTTGTGGGACCCTCGCTGGCGGCCGGGGAACGAACTGGCGCTGCAGAGGCTGTGGGCAGCCTCGCAGCCCAGCGCTCAACTGCTGCACCACCAGGGTAGGCCCTTTACTAACACACTTTTACCTCAAATGTAAAAGTAAAAATGTTTTTTTCTTAAGGATTTTTCTAAGCTATTAGGTAAATTATTTTAATTTCAAATACTTGCTTTTGAAACGTTAAAAAAACATTTATTCAAAGATCAGAACATACTGTAATTATTTCTGGACATATTTTCCTGTATAGATTTCTGGAAGAATATTTGCTAATGCTTATGTCACTAAAGTCAAATTACTTATAAATTTGGATTTCATTTAAATTCCTTTTAGTAAATGTGGCAATATAAGATATAATTCAAGACTTGCTCAGAGATGTGAACAAATATTGCTAGTTTGCCTGGTTTCCTATGATGAAATTAAACATGTACAGGACTAAAATACATTTTCAAGTTAGTGTAGGCATTGAAATTTAATTTGCATACTGATGACCTTGGTACAGATTTTCTTAAATAAAAACACCAAATACTGACAAAAATGTAGACAGAGCCAATGTGAATGTCCTATTATTATTGTTCTTTAAACTTACACATCATATTT